CCGAGTAAGTTTATCTGACAAAAATAATATGAACGGGTAACTTTAAAAGAACTACACGTTTTCGTGTTTTGTTGATCTATTGCCGCTTTTACCTCAACTAGAGAACACTAGAACATTGGAATGCTCGGAACGGCCACAGTAACCTATGCACAGTAAGTGAAGCCCAAACAGGGTCAAGCCGTTTGGAACACTGCGATCGGTAAATCTGCAATGTGTCATTGCTTTAAGATTTGCACACTGCTCCGCCAAAGTGGAGGATATGTGTAATGCCTGCTTACGACTGAAATGCCCGCTTTCTAATGGCAGATGCAGATTTTTTTTTTACTTTTTAGTGTAACCAGCTGTATTGTTCTTCTTTGTGTCTTCAAACTAGATTTAGTTGGTACGTATCGATAAAGAAAGTAACTTAAAATGCGAAAAAAAAAACGGAAGAAATTTGCAGTGTCGTTGCACGGCATTCCACAAAAGCGTAAAGCATGGCCTTCGAGATTTCTCATGTTTGTTAAGATCTCGAAGCCGCACATTAGAGGAACTTATGAGCACCTTTTTCCAGCTTTTTAATTGGCTCACTTACTTAGCCTGCTTGGTCTGCTTCGGAGTGAAGAACGCATCAGCTCGGACTCCTTTATGATGGGCTAAGTTGCTAATAATTAATTGACATCATATTGAACAGTTTTGTTTTGATTCGTGATATTTTAATTAAAACAGCAATAATTATCGAGAACATTACTTGTAAGGTATTTATTAGTATGAAGCTATGTAAGGTAATACTGAGCAGTGGAAGTCTAGTTACAACAATCTTATTAGGAATTTAATTAGCCTAATCTCAGTTATAGTGGTCCTAATTAGTGCTGTGTTAATTGGCATAATCTCTATCCTTTTTCCGACCCTTTTCTCCACCCTCGTACAGGGTAGCAAACCAGTTCTTCTAGCGAAACCTCCCTGTCTCTTGCTTTCATTTATTTCTCTCTCAGCATAATCTTACACGCCTTCATCAGCATGGTCTTCTTAAGAAGCGGCTTAAATAGCAAGGCCTTGACAAGCATGAATGTGCCTTATTCCTTATTACCTTATTCAGCGGGAAGTAGTCTCAGAGGCCACGGTGCGGATCATTCTAAAGAATGCCAAGTGCAGACATTAAAAGCTTGAAAAAGCAAATAAACAGACAGTGTCATTAAAAAAACGCCCCGCCGTTGTGGTCTAGTGACTAAGGTACTCGGCTGCTGGCCTGCAGGTCGCGAGATAGAATACCAAATGCGGCGGCTGCATTTTTGATGGAGGCAGAAATGCTGTAGGATCATGTGCTCAGATTTGGGTGCACGTTAAAGAACCCCAGGTGATCGAAATTTCCGGAGCCCTCCACTACGGCGTCTCTCATAATCATATGGTGGTTTTGGGACGTTAAATCCCACATATCAATCATCATTAATCAGCCTTTTAAAAATATCACTAGTAAAAGTTTCCGACACATTTCATACGTGATGTGCAGTTCTGCACTATGTAGAACGATAGACAGTTGAAAGAAGATAGCTCTGGCTTGAAGACACCACCCAAATTTCCCGACATCCTTTGACGTCATACCGCATTCTATCGCAACCAAAGTATCTAAAATCGTTGATCGCAACCAATGGAGCGGAGCTTGCTCCGGATAGATATAACATTTTCGTACAGTTAGCTGGTTCAAAAGGGGGTGTCGCCAGAGCTCGGAAAGATACCGAGTTATGCCGAATCCAGGGCATCCTGCATATAGTGCACCTGGACCTCATGTTCATTCTGACCTGGACACACCCTTGACAAAGGTAACATGACGTCACAAGTGGTTGATGCCAATGCCTTTACACTAGCAGCTATAGGACATCGCCCTTGCAATTGACGATAAGCGGGCGGATATACTTTAGGATTAGTGGGCGAATGCGACCTAGAACAACACGCGTAATTAGATCTTGATGCATTAACTGAATAACTTAAAATCAGCTTCACGTGATAGTGCCACTAGTGCTGCTACTAACGACTGCGTGTTTGGTATTGTCATGTGATGATGAAGCGTACGCGGGCAATGTGAATTTTAGTTTGGTATTGTCATGTCATGATGAAGCGTACGCGGTCAATGTGAATTTTTAGTTTAGCGTTAACATGGCAATGGGGAATAAGGAGCACAAGAATGGAAGCTTTAGCGAGTAGGTATGCGTTCATCTTGGTTAAACAGCTCGTTCTGAACCATTCGTTGTGGACGGCGTGTTTAAGTAGACCATGATACAGTGTACACGTACCCAAGCCGTGATTCTGGTTCCATTGGCTGAGGATGTATGCGTTAAAACTGAATAGAAAGAAAAGTTCAAATGATCGCCTGTATGCGTTCATACAGAATGTTTAGGGCTTTTTGTAGAGAAATAGTAACAGTAAATAAGTACTACCCACGAAGCAAAAGTAAACAGTCATATGGTGCAGTGAAGTGTCCTCCAGGATGCCTCCTGTGGGCAATAAAGTTTTACCACTTCCAGATGCGTCTACATCATTCTTCTTGTTAGGCCTAGGAATGTCTGAAATGGGAAGCTGTCTCTAAAAATCCGGAAAGTTTTTCATACTACTTTGTCGCAGAAGCGGCCTGAAGGCAAGCGGATCCATTTAACGCAGTAATTTGCTGCGAACGAATTGAATATTTCAACAGCAATGCAGATTTCGGTTTGAGGCGGGCGTACGAAATCACCGCCGTGTTACATGGTTTTAAGTGTACTACGTGTAACCGTGCAAGCACGATATACCACTAAATCTGAGAAACAGCATGATTACGGTAAACGCTACGGGTTTTATAGTGTATTGTGCATGCCTATTTCGATCCCGCTGTTCCGCTAAGCACGCTAAACTATAACTACACGTAAAGATAACGCGTATACGCATTCTCTTAATGGACCCTTTGAAGCCAACTGGCGACGCTGACCCAAGTTATGTCATGACGTTCTAGGCTGTGGAATGTTATTTACAGCAGTATTATAAGCCCTTTGAAACGAAAATTTTTTTCTGTACAATTCAGCATGGTTTGAGGCCTGGGCTGTCATGTGTTACGCAACTGCGTGAATTTTTTCAACATGTTTTAAGTTCGAATAATAAAAATTTATCAAGTCAATTAGGTATTTTTGGGCTCTCAGAAAGCGTTTGACACTGTTCCACGCGCTTTTTTATTACATAAATTATCTTTTCTGGGTCTGCCTGCATCTGTTCTTGGTTGGTTGAGGGATTATTTACCTTCTAGAAAATAGCCTGTCTGAGTAAATGGTTCATTTTTCCCATAGTCCAGCGTGATTTCCGGGGTGCCACAGGGTTAGGTGTTGGGTTCTTTCCTCTTCTTTGTCTATAATAATGATTTGTCAGAGACGCAAACATAGAATTGTGATTGCGCATATGATGGTTGTGCGCAGCTAGGAGCGCAGTCATGTATACATCAATACACATTATGAACGATATTTATGCTTTGCAACATGATCTTGACACTTTGGTCAGGTGATGTGAGAAATGAAGATGCGTTTGAATGTACACAAGTGGAGTTTTTCTAAATCTATCAGAACACGCAACCCTTTCACTCATCCTACACTTTGTCAAGAGCACAACTTGACCGTGTTGAACATTTTGAATACCTTGGCGTATACTTATATGCTGATTTATCTTGGTAGAAGCATATAGGGTACGTAAATAATAAAGCCAACGGTGTGTTAAACCTTATTAAAGGCCATTTCAGTTGTGCCCCCAAAAGTCTGAAAGAAGTTAGTGTGAGGGAGAAATTGTGTGTGAGGGAGAAAAAAGGCAGAGAGGTCAGCCTGAGCTATAGTTCACTCTGGCCTGCTACTCTACACAGGAAATAAAGGAAAGAGGAAGAAAAGAGGGATGAAGGGTGATGATGGGGACAAGAAGAGCTGGTGCGTATGTACAGTAGTCACTTAGCATAGCACCCTACAGTCTAGTATCTAGCGCAGTGCTTTTGATAAAGTCTAAAACAGCCGTTGTAGAAGATTTTGGCACTGTTTGGTCGTTCATTGCCGACAGCATGTGGCTTTCACTCAGTGGCGTTCGTCCGATGCTTGCCAACGCTGAAGTTAGCGTTTTTCTTTGCACCACGTATAATGGGCAGTCACAAAATACTTGAGCTAAAGTTTCGCGCACTTTCGCAGCGCTGACAATTAGGGCTGTCCGCACGACCAATCAGATGAGTGGAGTGACGAGTCAAGGCGACGCCCAGGCGAATCCGGTGCTGTATATTAGCATGTCTTCGGCCGAGTTTATCTGCAAGACGAAAGTCATACCGGGGTCTGTTTCCCGCAGAAGCTTGTTCCGGTGATCTGGTAGCGACCAGTAAGTGGCAGCGCATTCGCGCATGAGCGATCTCAATAATGTGTTGACGTCAATTCACGAAAACTGTACTTCGAAGTACATAGGAGCGTTGTATACTGCCGCTCTTGCTTCGCTATCGGCTAGTTCGTTGTCAACCAGGCCGCAGTGTCCAGCAATTCATTGGAGTGCAATCAAGTGACCACTCCTGTGTGTTAGGTCAAATTCTTGGATGATTCTCAACGCTAACGTATAAAATTGGCCTCTTCTTGAGCAAGAATGGATGGCTTGAAGCACACATTTTGCATCGGACAAAACCTAGCCTTGTATATGCCTACCCAGTATGGGATCCCCATGATCAAACTTTAGTCTATAAACTCGAACGCATATGAAAGTGGGCTCCACACTTTGTCAGAGACAATTACAACTGTACCTCAATATTACCCGAATAAAATTACTTAGGATATATTATTTAAGATGAAAACTTCTTGAGCAGCGCAGAGACCTCCTACAACTAAAATTTGTTTTCATTTGATCTTTTGCGATCGCACTAACAAAAGTTGATACATAATGAGTCCATACTACGTGTTACATAGAAATGATCATTCCAAAAAAAAAAAAAAAACGGGAGGTCCACTGTTATAGCGGTTTCTTTGCTCATTCTTTTTTTTTTTTACCTTTTACTGCTAGTGACTGGAATAAGTTGGATGCCTGTGCTGTCTATCATCCACCCGATGCTTTTTGTTCATCAATACAGTGTGCGTGCTTTTCGTGAATGCGAAGGCACGGATGCGCAAATCTGTGCCTTTTTCGACGGTACAACTGTGTTTTCAAAAAAAAAAAAAACTTTACACCCTCAAAACAATGCCCATTTGGGCGATGTAGGTCACACTAATAAATAAATAAATAAATAAATAAATAAATAAATAAATAAATAAATAGATAGATAAATAAATAAATAAATAAATAAATACTTTTGGTTGTTAAATGTTATCTGCTTTTCTTCTGCCCAATCGCATGTGGCACAGGTTCAAGCTGGAGCAGAAATACGATCTCAAAGAGGTGCTGCCCAAGCTGGGAATCAAGAGGATCTTCAACGCGGGCGAAGCAGACCTGTCCCGAATCAACGGAGAAAAATCGCTGTTCGTGGACCGGGTGGTGCACAAGGCTGTGGTGGAGGTGAACGAGGAAGGCAGCGAGGCGGCAGCCGTCACTGGTGTCACCATCAACACGCGAACCACTACCGGTCCCAGCGAGATACACGTGGACCGGCCGTTCCTCTTCTACATTACCAACAAACGCATAGGAAACATACTCTTCGTCGGACAAGTGAACAAAATCGATTGAGTGCCTGCCCACACTGGCACTGAATGCGACGGGCGTATACGAACTACTGGCTTTGGTTTACGGTTATACAAACAATCTTTAGTCGACCGGGTGCCTTTATAAAAAAATCTCGTTCATTGTACGTTTATACTCGTGTGAACGCCCCTGAATACGTCCGTCACTGGATCGACACACTTGAACTTTCTTGCGGTCATGCTCTCATTTTTTGGTTAGTTTAGCTCTCTGTAAAATTGAAGCGCATCAGCGAGTGTCTTATCATTTTTTTCCCTAAATGATGTTTAAATTCAGCAAAAGGCAACACGAATCAAGGAGCCAAAGCAAATCGTACATGTTAAGTACCGACCGCCACATTACGTTACGTTTAATGTCCCGCTGCGTTATTTTAATCTGAAAATATCGACGAAAGGCCTCTTTATACTGCGCAATATAAGCGTTACCCAGAAAAACATAAAACTACGGGAATCCATCGTGAGATCAGATGACCCGGCTGGTGTAGAGACATACCTTATATCAATGTCTAATACAGTAATTTGTTAATTCAATCAATGCTTGAAGGCTCCGCGTTTTTTGCCCCACCGCAGTGGTCTAGTGGTTAAGGTACTCGGCTGCTGACCCGCAAGTCGCGGGATAAAAATCCGGCTGCGGCGGCTGCATTTTCGATGGAGGTGGAAATGTTGTCGGCCTGTGTGCTCAGATTTGGGTGCACGTTAAAAAACCCCAGAGGGTCAAAATTTCCGGAGCCCTCCACTACGGCGTCTCTCATAATGATATGGTGGTTTTGGGATGTTAAAACTCACCACATATAAATCAATCAATCAATCAATCAATCAATCAATCAATCAATCAAGGCTCTGGTTTTGTTTTGATGCAAGCGAAAGACCTTTCATGGCAGCGACGCATCTAATACAAATACCACGTGGAAGAAGTTGGGCGGTGCGTTAATCAAATATTTCTTTCTTTGGAAGCAGAGTGGGTTCTGTTTGGCTGCCAGGTCACAAAAAGCGTTCCGTATGTTATTCAATGAATCCCCGTGCTTCGGTATATGACTCCTACAGAAATATATGGCAAATTTAAGGATTCCGTAGGGAAAAATTTAGAATTAATGGAATGGTATGCGGAATGTTTCAGTAGAGATATGATCATGTCTTAAGCTTGAGAGACAGAGAGAGAGAGAGAGAGAGAGGCAGGCGAAGTGGTGGTTTGGATGCGTTTCCTCAGAACCAGCAGTTCGTAAGCCGAAGACTTTGCTTTTATCAGCTCATTCTAAATTTTGCATATGTCACCTACCTATCGCATGTCCGTGCAGCGGTGATGGCGAGTATGTTAATTACCTATTTCCTTAGCGTTGCAGACACAGTACGCATAAATTGCAACCCCAGTAGGAGATAACTTTACTGAATTCGCACCATTGTTTTTTTCCTTGCCAAAGCACTAGGCCCATGGTGATTGAATGTCTATTAAAAAGTAATGAAGTGACTTCAACGTATCTCTGACTATGCTCGCCATCGCGCTTAGTACGGATTCCACCACAATGTGTATATGCAGCGTTCAAGTGTCTCTCAGAAGTCTAGGAACTTTGTTAAAACGACAGCCTTTTAAAAGTAATTGTGATAGAATTCAAAACGCTGTCTGTCGTTGTTTTTTATGGTGTTTGCCAAATTAAAAAGAATAGCGCTCTTGACGAAACAGCGACATCTCAGACTTACGTTTTTGTTTTAATAAATGAAGTGTCACATGAACATTCGTGCCGAGGTCGGGCTTGTGCACGAATATGTCAATAATTTTTGATAATGGAGTGATTCCAAATAAGTAAGGAAGGGCCCTTTCTTAACCAGTGTTTAATGAAACAAACATGTTAGCACGGGCTAAAAATAACGTCTGGATGAATGCATGCGACGCAGCTACGCAAACGTAATTTTCAGGTTCAGTGTAGCGTATAACTTGCGATTTCTGGCATGTGAACTGCAGTGTGTAAGTACTCCTTGTCTTCTATTTGCGCTTGTCACTTCCTTCTAAGCCTTTGTGTAGAAAGAGAGCTGTACCAATTCGCACATCCTTAAAAAACTATTTTTTTTTCGTTCACTTTGTCAGTGCTATCGCCCTTGACGGACGTGGCGGAAACGCGTAGCTACTTTTCTTTTTCTTGTTTTGTTATTTTAACAGCGTCTGCCAGAATAGAAAGCACCGCTAGAAGTTCCTATGGCCGTATCTCCACCGCAGAGTTCACTGGCATGAAGTGCAGGCTTTGTATGCGACGTTATGCAAGAAAAGAACGGGCACATATTTATGTGCTGGGCTTCGATTTATATGTACAGCCATGGTTTAGTCGATCCCTCCTTAGAAAGCCTTCTTCGCTTTCCTGGGGAGGCAGTTGAATGTTTTTGCAGGGAATGTACAGAAGATGTTAGCGTGTATTGTGTAATCTATCGAAATAATTCTATATTTTCGGCAGCGTAACCTACATTTGCCGTTAAAGAACAACAACCGGAGTATGTGTTTTCATTGTATGAGTCAAATCGAGCATCTGTACATTTTGAATGTTTTCACGCTTACCCTACACCTGCCTATACGCACACGCAGCTCAATCTAGTCTCTTCGCGTTTGATATACATTGAGAGATATGTTAAACAATAGACAAATAAGCATACATTGAAGATGTGGCTGGTGAACCATTTTTTTTTCTTTTTTTCTTTATGAGTAGTGCAAACTGGGTATTCTAAAGTGGGAAGCCTGTCATGAGGATTGCACTTTAGTTTTACAGCGCGTATATGGGTAGTCTTATTCTGTTATATCCATCCCCTCCGACCTCATTCCTCTAGAATTAGATTCGACCACACATACATATATAGGCAAGCACTACCTTCTTTACTGCAATGAATCATATAGACAGTGAGGGTGCGTGGCTGTGAATAACTAATTACGAAAAATATTTACTGTTACTTTCTTTAAACATCTAAAAAGAACAAATACGTACTATTTTTTACTGCACCTGTATTTTATTCCAGACTTTCTCTACAAGACAAAATAAATCGATACTTTTTTTGCGGTTGCAATTAGTGTAGTGCAGGTGGCATCGTTGTATACCACTAGCATTTCCTTCAAATGTAATAATATCAGTTGATGAAGCCGAGCTCTGATTCAGTTACGAGAAATAAATAAAAGACAAGTGCATTACAGTCTTGGGTTGCTTGGGTTATTAACGACGCACCCAAAGGTATGTTCACTAAGGTGGATATTTGGGCACGGTATTATTCTATGATTAAAAACAATGAAAGTGTACTAAGAACGAGTACACAAACAAGGCTCACAAAGACACACACGCATAAACACACACACACACACACACACACACACACACACACACACACACACACACACACACACACACACACACACACACACACACACACACACACACACACACACACATGCTACTTTGAACACTTTTATTATGAGATACCAAGGTTACTTACAGGGCCAAAAATAATAATAAGTATGCACCCACCTATTTCGTAGTAGAACAGGATAAATACTAGGCACCAAAACAAACATAAAAAAAATAAAATTCTTTTTTTGTCAGAGCGATAAAGGGCATGTTAATACACCGGTCACCCATCTTTTCATTCTCCCCTGCTTCTGTGATATCACGCGTAAGCTGATTTCTGTTTCGTGCCAAAATTCTGCATTTATGTACAGAATTTAGGCTAGGAAAGTTAGTTGGTTTCTAGAATCGTGGGTCAGTTTCTAGAAGAATCGCTCAACCCAGCATGGGAGATTGGTCACCAATAGAGGGACAGATGAATTTGTGAAAAGAATAAAACAAGAAAGAAGAAGACAAGGGGATATGCGAAAAAGATATTTTAAAGGAAAGCAAGAATATTACTGGCAGTAATAGTTTTCATATGAAATTTCAAATAAAGAAAGTAATAAATAAGATTTCTTTCTTGCTTTCTGCTTCTGTGTATTGTATCTGTTTTTTTTTCGTCTGCTTCTTTTTATTCATTTCTTTCTATTACCAACTGTGTATTCCTCTTCTTCTCTCTTTGAATCTTTATTTGTCTCTTTATTCTTTTTCTTTCCCCTCCTTCCACTTCTCTCTATATCTCTTTCTATGCTTCTCTCTATTTCTCTTTTCTTCTCTTCCTGCCTTGGTATTTTCTTTTATGAGCGAAGGGGTTAAAGCTCTAGTAAACGTGTGACCGCAAAAAAAAAGCTATAATCATCATAAACGGGTAACTACCACCAAAATCAGCCAAATCCCTCCACTCGCCTCTGGCCCTAAAGATGAAGAAGGCAGCAGTTAGACCAAGAAATGTCTGCGGGAAGTATCGGGCAAATTCAACTTATCATCGGTCAATCCCCTCCTTTGTTTACGAGCCATGTGCAGAAAACAACAACAACAACAACAACAACAACAACAACAACAACAACAACAACAACAACAACAACAACAACAACAACAACAACAAAAACAACAACAACGACAACAACAACAACAACAACGACAACAACAACAACAACAACAAATGGCTGCGAAGCGACAGTGGTGAACCGAAGACCCCGAGCACTTACAACGATAGAATGCATTGCTAGGGAACAGCATAGACAATGGCGCCTGCGAGAAGACCACGAAGTTCTGCAAGACCTACGCCAACGAGAACCCACCCACAGATCTATATAAAAGGTACGAACGCTTTGGTTTGAGCACGAGTTTTGGTTTCTGGAGTACTGTCTAGGGTTTACATTGAACCTCTCGTCACAGACAATCAATCTAGAAGCAACCTTGCATTATCAGCTCCGCCGTGGTGGTATAGTGGCCAAGGTACTCGGCTGCTGACCCACAGGTCACGGGATCGAATCCCGGCTGCGACGGCTGCATTTTCAATCGAGGTGGAAATGATGTAGGCCCATGTGCTCAGATTTGGGCGCACGATAAAGAGCCCCAGGTGGTCAAAATTTCCGGAGCCCTCCACTACGGCGTCTCTCATAATCATATGTTGATTTTGGTACGTTAAACAACACATATCATCATCATCATCCTAGCATTATCTAACAATAGCCTGGCAACAACCTAGAACAAGCTAAATTAGGCTTCGGAATCGTCCTGTTTTTCTGTTTGAGTACGTGCACGACTTAATGGATGCCTTGCCATTTTTAATTTTTTCCGTGGCAGTTTATTTGGCATATTCTTCTCTTTCCTTAGGTATATAGCATGAAAAGATTTATTATCAATCACAACCGTGCACGTGTGAAGATCACGTGCTCCGTGACGCCAAACAAAGACGTCACACACACTCGCTGCGTGCCTGAGCTGCGTGTGGCGTTTACTAACACGCCCAGGTATTCAGCACTCATAAATACCCCAGGAAAATATGAACCCGGGTTGTAGCTCTAATGGTAGAACATAAGAAACTTAATCCGGAATTTGTGGATCGGGATCCCACCGATGCAAAAGGTGGCTTTTTCGGACCTCTTCAATTCTTTTCAATTTAAGTGAAATCATTACATTACAGTTAGGAGACCACAAGTAATCTCCCCTGTTCCTTCGTTGGCCTAAATATTTGTATGTGGGTTCACTGGCTATGTGCAATAAAGAAATTGGGCCCCTGGGACAATTCTCCTACTTTTGTATTCTCACTTTCTGTGTATTTTATGTCTTCTTTTCCTATCTTCAATTCTCTTTGCTTGTCTCTTTCTATGCTTCTTCTTCACTCCTTCCATCCCTTTATTTTTCTTTCTTCTCTCCTTCTTGTTCACGTGTTCTTTTTGTTTGACACTCACACCTGCTGTACACGGTAGTGAGGTTTGCACATAACCACAGTGGCACACACCTACTTGCAGTTTTCTGCAAGTAGGTGTGTGCACAAACTACGGCGAGCTAAATAAACCTATACACCGTTAAAAAAAGTTTAATGAACGAACTGGTAGAAAAGCATGCACAGAGTCACGAGTGTTCAGCTTCAAAAGTGTTGATGCCGCACATGTGTGGTGTCCCTTGATTTCCCTCACTAATGCGAACTTAGAGGACCACCAGAGAGAAATACGATTTTGTCTTGTGTCAGTAAAATAACAATTTACGATGCGACGGGAGCAGACTTGGATCGAGAGAAAGTATGCATAAAAAATCAAATGAAGACGCCTCACTGGCGGTTCGGTGCCGATTCACATTGAGGTAATAGATTTTGACAGCATCCGCTAATACCTATGTAACTGTTCAACGGTAACGCCACTCACATTATGTTCCAAGAAGGCATAAGATAATAGGTTAATGAAACTTTATGCAACAGATGTAGCCAAGCTAAAAAATTCAAGACGCCGAGCAGTTTTCGTAGAGAGCCGGAGACTGTGCATAACAAGATTGAGCCAATTTTATGAAGCCGATGCGGTCCAACTATGAAATTCATGATGTCACGCTAACAATCAGGTGCTCAAGTTCTGGCAGGAAACTCAAAACACTAACAAAATGAGCCTTCCACAATCACTTTATCTTTTCATAAGTAGCGTAAGATGGATAAATAACCAATAATAATTGAATTCTTGAATAATTCGCAAGTCGAAAATATTTTTAATTGTCGCTTTAGCCTTCTTTTGTTCGCAAGTCAAAAACATTTTGATTGTTGTTTTAGCCTCCTTTTGCAATAAAGGTTGATGGTTTCACGCACCGCTCATCCTTGCTGGGGAAAGGAAAGGAATCTGAGGAAGCGACAAATAAAATCATTGAGGTCAATGTGAGAACGCCAGCGAATGAGAAGTTCTGCAGATGGGTGAAAAGCGGTTATAAAAGAGGGATCAATGAATTGCGTATTAGCGCAGCATTAAACATTTGCCATTGCGAAGTCCAACCTTCGAGTGGGTCAAGATAACAAAGTCTCTGATAGTTGTGATCATAGACTTTCTTTCGACCATCAACAAGGACGCACGAGCTGTGTGAAATTCGAACGCAGGTCAAGATTATCTTCAGATAGATACTCTCTTTCTCTTCAAAGTTGCCTCGCTGGCTTCAAGTGGCGGCAGAGAAACATGATACCTCAGTTGGTCTGTCAAGCGTGGCCTCCACATTCTCCTCACTCTCAAAATTTGCGCCCGTGCGTGCCCTAGCTCAAAGGTCTTCCAACGCGCATCGTGAGGACATATCGGATGGTTTACTTTTTAAAACCCTGAAACAAAGTCGGACTACACGATCCCACTTAGCACTTCGTTAAACAATGCAGCGTCCTCAGGTACGTAACATTTCTCCCAAAGAGGCAGTGTGTTTCAGATAAAGGCTGGTTTCGAGAAGCACATAGGTTTTCTCCGCCGTTTAATTTACGAGCGCCGCTACCCACGCTAACCATAAAGCCTGGCCCTGTGCATCATTTTAAGCTTAACTACACCAATCGAAGGCAGAAGTTTGTTGGACAGTTTTGTTTTTGTTAAAATAAGGCAAACGAATATTAAAGCTTAAGTCTATCCCGTAGGTTCTGACGCCGTGTTCTGCGGAAACGAACAGTTCCGAGAGGATCATGTTGAGGTTCCCCGAGCAGCCAGAATGTATGCCACTCCGTTCCATTAGGCCGCACTAGCAACTAATTTATTTATTTAGGCAAGCAAACGACAGTTTCACTATTCGTTTTTAATTTGGGATGAATATTGTACGCGGTAAACTTATGCCACTTTTAAGCAATGAAGGCCACTAAAGCCGCGATATCCATAATTGTGGGGAAGTGTCATTTGAGTTAGCCTTATGCATTTTTCCAAGCCTATAAGCTTCCTATAAACATCCTGTAAGAAATCTATAGGGCATCAACTGCTATCATATTGCTTCATAAAGAAAGCAACAGAATACCAATCAAGAAACGTGTAAGGCCAGTGATACAATCTCCCCAATGCTATTTACCGCATGCTTACAGGAGGTTTTCAGAGGCCTAGAATGGAAACAGTTAGGGATAAGAGTTGATGGAGAGTACCTTAGTAACCTGCGCTTCGCCGATGACATTGCATTGCTGAGTAACTCAGGGGATGAATTGCAACTCATGATTACGGAGTTAGACAAGGAGAGCAGAGAGGTGTGTCTTAAAATAATTTACAGAAAACGAAAGTAATGTACAACAACCTCGAAAGAGAGCAGCGCTTCGAGATAGGTAATAGTGCACTTCAAGTTGTAAAAGACTATGTCTACTTAGGGCAGGTAATAACCACGGAGCTGAACCACGAGATTGAAGTAACTAGAAGAATAAGAATAGAGTGGAGCACATTTGGCAAGCACTCTCAAATCATGACAGGTAGATTGCCACTATCCCTCAAAAGGAAGGCATATAACAGCTGCATCTTGCCGGTACTTAGCTATGGAGCAGAAACCTGGAGACTTACAAAGAGGGTTCAGCTTAAATTGAGGACGACGCAGCGAGCAATGGAAAGAAAAATGTTAGGTGTAACCTTAAGAGACAAGAAGAAAGCAGAGTGGATTAGGGAACAAACGGGTGTTAAGGATATCATAGTTGAAATAAAGAAGAGGAAATGGACATGGGCCGGGCATGTAGTGCGTAGACAGGATAACCGCTGGTCATTAAGGGTAACTAACGGGATTCCCAGAGAAGGAAAGCGGGTTAGTGGGAGACAGAAGGTTAGGTGGGCAGATGAGATTAAGAAGTTTGCGGGTATAAATTGGCAGCAGCAAGCACAGGACCGAGTTGACTGGCGGAACATGGGAGATGCCTTTGTCCTGCAGTGTACGTAGTAAGGCTGATTATGATGATTATGATGATAATGATAGGCTTCCGTCTTTTGCTATGTTAACGCGTATTGCAGAGCATTGGTATAATGGGGCAAATATATGGCGGTGGCCGAAACCACCCTGACATCGCGTGCTGCTTTTTATGGATGACGGATACAACAGTGTTATAGACTGGGGCTAAACGACACTATCACTACCGCTACGCATTGTACTAATGATGTCTTGGTCTTTTTTTTTCGGCAGCTCATTATGAAGGTGGCCATCGTTGTCGCCTGGTTCATGGGGTATTGCGTCGGTGAAGAAGAAACGGTAATTACCACCTCCGGCAACGTCTTTGGTCTCGGTCTGCTACAACAAATCCCATCTTCGCCTCAGACTAACATCTTCTACTCGCCGTACAGCATCTACACAGCACTGGCTATGGCCTATGTTGGTGCCAGAGGCGAAACGCAGCACGATCTGCACGAGGCGCTCGGTTACTCGACGGCAGGCTTGAGTCCCGAAAGTGTAGCGAGCCTTCACGCCAGGCACACGCGACGGCTCCGAGAGCCTTCGAACTCGACGCTCCTCGTCGCCAACGCGGTTGTCGTTCAGACGGGCTACAACGTGCAACGTCAGTACCTAGACACACTCAGAGATTCCTTCGGTGCCGAGGTAAGCGAAGCAGACCTGACCGATGTGCAGTCCCTGAAGACCATCAACGACTGGGTCAAGAACAAGACGGCTGGCCAAATCGAACAGCTGCTTCTTGAGCCACTTCCCTCCGAAGCAAAGTTAGTGCTCCTGAACGCCATCTATTTCAAGGGGCTGTGGAACACCCCGTTTCAGGCGGAATCCACGTTCAAGGCTCCTTTCTTCAATGCGGGAACAGAGCGGGTGCAGGTGGACACGATGCACCAGCAGATTACGGCGGGATACGCTGAAGACGACGAGACGAACGCCCAAGTTGTCGACCTCACTTACGCTGGCCTCGATTACAGCATGGTTATCATTCTGCCGAGACAGAAGAACGGCGCGGATGCCATCAGGCGCAATTTCTCGGTGCCACTCTACCATCGTCTACTGTTGAAGCTGCGGGAGAGGGTCGTCGATGTCGCCCTTCCTAAGTGAGTACCAAGTTGTGACATTCGTTAAATATCTCTGGGTTTAAACGCAGTAAAAGAAGGTTCAAACAAATATCTAAACGATTACCTTGAATTTTGAACGACTTAGTGCGTACGCAAATGCAGATAATGTGTTTACTAAGTGCATGTTTATTATATGCTGTATTAATTCTCAGAAGTTGTGCTTATACAGTATGTTGAGCACCTTCACGCTCAAGCAAAAAAGAAATAAATATGTGGAAGTCATTAGGCCAGTCACCGGCCAGTTTATTTGCGCACGACTTACATATTCAACCCAGCGACAAGCGTAACTGTGTCCAGATAATGTAGCCGATGAGGCGATTTATTCCTTCAGTTTTCACTCGCCTTACCTTTAAATTAGTCCACTCTCCCATAACATCTGCTGATTTTGGTTTTCTCCTTTTATTGTATTTTTTTTTCTTTCTTTATTTGCGCCTACTATCACCTTCCATTCACGTTTGCTTCCTTTCCCTAGCACAAAGTGGCCAGCAGGTTTAAGGGCATGGTAACATCCCTTTCTATCCCTTGTTTCTTCATCCTAATCTATCTATCTATCTATCTATCTATCTATCTATCTATCTATCTATCTATCTATCTATCTATCTATCTATCTATCTATCTATCTATCTATCTATCTATCTATCTATCTATCTATCTATCTATCTATCTATCTATCTATCTATCTATAATCTCTCTATCTATCTATCTATCTGTCTATCTGTCTGTCTGTCTGTCTGTCTGTCTGTCTGTCTGTCTGTCTGTCTGTCTGTCTGTCTGTCTGTCTGTCTGTCTGTCTGTCTGTCTGTCTGCGTGTGTGTCTGTCTATTCAGCCTTTACACCGCACATAAAACCACCTTTAACGGTGTTCAGCCGAGAAACAGAATCGACGAACGTTTTGTACTTTCATTCTCCTCACGCATTTTCTCTATCTACCCGCTCAGGTTCAAGATTGAAGGACCGTACAAACTGAAGGAGCCTCTATCGCATATGGGAGCATCCAAGGCCTTCGACAAGCATCAAGCCGACTTCTCGGGCATCAGCGGATCTCGCGACTTATTCATCCACGACGTGGTGCACTGGGCCGTTGTCGAGGTGAACGAAGAAGGCAGCGAGGCCGCCGGTGCCACGGCTGTTATTTTTCAGACTGAGAGTGCCCGAGTGGGCACGCCACTTGTGGTCGACCATCCATTCCTGTTCATCATCCACAAGCGGCATACGGGAGACATTCTGTTTGTCGGTGAAGTGAATTATCTCTAAGCGATCGACCTGCTTTCAGACCCTTCATTAACTTCTATCTATATTATATTGTAAACCCTTCAATCCCAAATCCTTCGAGGTTACACACAAATGAAGTAAGCTTGTTGAACATCACATCTTATCATATTTAACCATAAACTAAAAATCCAATCAAAATACCATAAAACATGAAATTCGGGCAAACGTTGAGAGGGACATCATCGCGTGTGCGTCGCTCACGAGTTTTACTGAAATAATGACAGTCCCAGCGACATTTCAGGAACACTTAATATTTTGAGTGAGTTGGTTTTCCATCAGCGAACTCAAGTTGAATCACAATTTGCCAGTTGCAGTGACCGGAATGATGACAGTTCCAGTGGCATTTCAGGCTCACCTATTATTTTTTGAGTGAGTTGGTTTTCCATCAGCGAACTCAAGCTGCATCACAAGTTCCAAGTTGCATTTGGAAGTGAGCAGTGTTGTCATCATATCTCTTTGTCCTTGTGTGTGAACGCTTAAGTGCTCAGTGAGGGTTCCAGTGGAAGCCTTTTGGGACCGTCGATCACTAGGGACATTCATAGACAAGCTGAATCAAGTCACATGCGTATGTTTGCCGAAATTATGCAATTTTTTCTGCTGACAACAAAAATTTGAGACTGGACATCTCACGACGAGGCCAATTTCCTGTTTGGAACGACAAAAATTCTAGTGACGATGACTTTTAGACACAAGCGATAGGAACACTATTACAAGCACACTCAAATTTACTCATACTTGTAGACTAACATTGTAAAGATAACACTGAAAAGGAATCGTCAACTGACACCGAGAAAAACAACTGAGCAATAAAGTGCAGCTGCTTTTCTTGGCGTGTCAACAGAAGTTTTACGTGAGAACGAATGACCAGAGTAGACGGGTCCTAACGCTTTTTTTTCTGCTTCGTGTTTGTATTCTTCTATTGGTACAGTGGAAATAAATAATGCAGGAATTATCTGTGTGTCCCTTCTGTACATGTGCCCGATGATTTTGGTATCACATCTTCTTTCAAAGTCTAAACTGCAATATTAAATAATCGCATGTGATCAGTCTCATACAACGTGGCAGGGGTGGCTGAGGATGATTCCCGGGAGGGAGCACGATGGGGGAGGTAGCCACAATGACAGAATTTTTTCGAGAAGAACGACACAGTGGAGTAAATAGTTTCAGGTTATCTTGCGACTTCTGACAGGAGAAAAACGACGGCAAAGCTGATGACGAGGCCAGTGTAAATGGCATAAAAATGTAGTAAAGGACCTTCAACAAGCTATCACCCTAGTAAAGAAAACTTAAAAAAAATCTGTCATCAAGGACTGTAGGTTTCCGGGGCAGCGGTGCTTGGGAGCTTAGAGAAGATGCGCAAGAAAAAGGTTGACAGATGCTGGTTAGTTTATTTTTTCTTCGAATTTTTAAGGCAAAAACCTTATATGCGGCATCAAAAGCGAAAACTAACAGTCGGCGGCATCCACACGACTGATGCAGCAAATCATGCGATGACACCATCTAAAAGTGTCTTCACCACGCAACAAGTTGCCGAATTTAGTGGTTTGATCATGACGTCACTACGACGTAACGCAAAATGACTTCACACGATGGTGTCATCACATTACATGCATCGCTTGTTCAAACGTTTTGGAGGCCATGCACCACGTGAGACGCAGAAAACTTGTCAATTCCTGAGAATAAAATACAGTCTACTGAGAAGGCAACTAATATGTTTTCCGCCTTCCAGTCACATTAAAACCATGTGACTCTTTTTCTTTCTTTCTGTGATATTGAGGCAGCTGAGATGATCTTGTTCAGAATGATGCTACAGTTTTTTATTGGTATGCGGGTTTTAACGTCCCAAAACCACCATATGATTATGAGAGACGCTGTAGTGGAGGGCTCCGGAAATTTTGACCACCTGGGGTTCTTTAACGTGCACCCGAATCTGAGAACACGGGCCTACAACATTTCCGCATCCATCGAAAATGCAGCCACCGCAGCTGGGATTCAATCCCGCGACCTGCGGGTCAGCAGCCGAGTACCTTAGCCACTACACCACTGCGGCGGGGCAATGATGCCACAGTTTCTGGAGCAGTAGCTGCAACTGAGGTTAGGAGAAAACTTGCCTCCAAAAACTTTTTTCTTTCGTGGGCGATGGCATCACGGATCCTCTTAGACGACAGCTATAAGCAACGCCATCTCAGAACCATTCTTCTGTTATCTGTCTGTTCTGTAAGTGCCTCATTAGTGATCACAACACGACTTCAGCGATACTCTACACTCAACCAATAAAACGTTAAAGCATTCCTCACAAAAAAAAAAAACAAATCGTTACGGCAGCCAGCGAGCACACCCGTGAGGCAGCGTCGAGGCAAGCCCTTGATGTCCCCTCAAGGGAGGCCTAGGCTCGGCCACATAAACCTGCTGGTTTCTTATAACAAAGTTTATTCCTCCTCCACCTCATGGCAGGAGTGCTTACTCAGTGCGGCAGAGAAGCCCGAGACCAAATCTCTGTGTAAGCAGTCTACGAGCAAGCGTAACTGAAGGCGGTAACAAGCTCCTTCGCCGGATCTTCATCAAAAACGCAGGCGTGGGCACACACATATCGGAGCAATGTAAAACTTTGAATGCGTTCAACCACCTCATTACACCGAACACGTGGGGGGGCGAGAAGGCGATAAAGAAACACCGAAGGAAATGACAGGCCAACTTGAGCCACGCATATTTTTTGCTTTTTTTTTTTCTATTACGGAGCTTGCATTTAGCACATTGATGAGGCGCTGTGGAGAAGGAAAGAAGCAAAATGTGACCGCGAAGCGCAGGCGCCTGCGCGGAGAAAGCAGCCAGAGGCATCGAAAGACCTTGACTTTTTTTTTTTGTCTATCGCTTCGCAAACCGAAACACAACTCTTCGTAATCGCACGGGCGGGTATTAAAAGAAACAAATAGAAAGGGGCGCCACGCTGTCGCCTGGGGTGGACAGATTAGGCGCTATTTTGAAGACCGTGGAAAGAGCGATGTGTCGAGATGCTGATTCCACGCCGCCCCTGACCAGATTAGAGAAGCAGCCCGTCTAGACGCTTCCCGATATAAGCGACGCTTGAAACCGGCTCTGCACACACGTGTCGCGAGACGAGGAAGGCGCGAGCGTGGTGGGGGGAGTGCGGCCAATTTTCCTAACTTTCGCGGCTACGGCAGTTCGTAAACAGACCACAACTGAAAGCGGAGTGGCCTGCTCAGGTAAGTGGAATAATCACTAGAACAATTTTTCTGCATGGTGAACGTTTTGTAATAATGCGAAATTCTTATTAGGGCTCACGTATTACGTTGTTTCGACGATGGTGTCAGAAGAAGAAAGTTTAAAAACGGTCACGAAAGCAATAACAACGACTCGTAAATACTCCTAAGAAGCGAGTAAACCTAGGAAGGGTCGCAGTTCTTCATGCTGTCACAAGACAGTGCTGCAACGAGAGGTGTAGGCGTGCAAAAGCTGATTAAATATTGGCTGATTTTACCTGCCGCAAGCACGGTTTGATTGTGAACAACGCCGTTGTGTGACACTATAAATTCATTTCGACAACCTGAATTTTTTTTCTTTTAAAGACGATAGTCTTTCTTGCGCACCTTAGACGCAAAAATTTTGGTCTGTCTGTCTGTACATTTGTCTGCTTGCCCACCCTTAACAGTACTGCAAACAGCACCGAATAACCAAACGATACTCCAAACGGCCGACCCCATCCGCAGCGCCCACCAATATTTCTCAAGGTTCAGCGTTCATGCTTGTGCGATTGTCAATTAAGAAACAATTATTGCGCATATCTGAGGCACCAGAATAACACGCCAATATTATGTGTGTATTTTTTACGAGACAGGACATTCATAAGTAATTTTAAGGATCGTAGCCTTTATAATGCTGCGCTGGCCATGCAACGCTTGCGCGAAACGGCAAGTGTTTTTAACGCTTTGCTAAAACGACATAGTGGTGGCACCTATTCGTCGCCTTGCGTTCTACACCTTATCCCTTCATAGACGGGCGCGCATGGCGCGCGCCCCGTTTTCTAGGATAACTGCCAGATAGCGCTCATGTCTCACGTGTGACGTGACTTGATGCGCTCGTTCACCTCCGTTGCACGCTCGAGACACTCTAATCCGCGCCTTCAGGATATCATTCACTGATTTTCTTGCGCAGAACATCAAATAAACGTTTTGTTCACTCTCTCCAGACGCAAGACTATCGTCTTTTGACGACATTCGCGGTGTAACATGCAGATACGGGGCCACTTTTTTTAAAAACATGCACCTAATTGTACGTAAGAGGCCGCTCCTGCATGTGGCCTTCTCCGTCGTAATGCGGCTGCCATGGCCGGGAATTGAAGCCGTGATCTCGCGCTTAGCAGCGCAACGCCAAATCGACTAAGCCATCTCAGTGGGTAATTGAAAGTAACATTCTGGTAGAAAGGGGCAACTAGAAGCTCTCAGCAAAAGGATGGTGTGGACGAGAACGGGTGCTTGCTTGCAAGAGCTCTCAGCCGTAGTTTTCGAACATCATCGAATGCCACTTAAAGGAACACGGTGGCGCTAAAAAAGTAGTGATTATATGTTTGAGTATACTTTTCCCACACATTGATATAATGTGTGGGTGAACCATACGCAAACGTATAATCGCTACCTGCTTAGCACCACGGCGTTTCTTTAGGTGACATTTGATGTAGCAACTCATTGTCATTTTAAAAAGAGAGCACGCACTCGTTTCCACCCCGCTTATGATTTGATAAGTTTATTCAGAGGCGTATCACTAACTAAAACATGGTGCCTTGCTCTTCTGGTGTCATATATGTTAACCCTGCATTTGAAAATAGTGCTGTCTGCGCACGTTCATTGCCATACGTCTTTCCTTGGCACAATTTGATTCAATTGTGTGCACGGTACAGGACAAACGGAAAATTTAGTACGTAAGGGGACGCAATAATTTTCCTTAGTTTTTTAATTGTCGTTCAGTCAAGACACTTATATTTTCCCTTGTGCCTCTCAATGTTGACACGACCATCTTCACAATTCCTGTCTTGTCGCTATTTTGCGCAGAATCGAGACAAGATGAAGCCACTTGCAGCTGTCGCCACCCTGCTGGCGTTGAGCTGCTTCCAGCTCTCGTTTTGCCAGACGGAGCAAGAACACAAGCTCGTCGCCGCGAACAACCAATTTGCTATCCATCTGCTCAAGGTGCTTCCCAGTCTACCAAACGAGAATGTCTTCTTCTCGCCGTACAGCCTGTCCACCGCACTCGGCATGGCCTTCCTAGGCGCGAGGGGAGACACGTTGGAAGAACTGTCCCAAGCTCTTGGATACAAAGCGCTCTCGCTCAGCGAAAGTGACGTCCGAGAGGTTTTCGCTCTCCAAAACAACCGGCTGCAAGCGCACGCCCGGCAAGCAGGCCTTGACGTGGCCAATAGCGCCGCAGTCCAGCAGGGTTTAGACGTCATCGACACTTACTACGATGCCCTGAACCGCACTTTCAACGCACACGTATTCAACGTGGACTTCGAGGGCAATGGTCAGCAGGCCGTAGACACCATCAACGAGTGGGTCAAGCAGGCCACCCGCAACAAGATCGACAAGCTCTTCCACGAACCCCTGGAAACCAACACGCGGCTGGTTCTCATGAATGCGATACTTTTTAAAGGGTTTTGGGAACGCAAGTTCAATCCAAGCCACACGACAAAGCACGTCTTCTACAACGGCGGCATCCAGGGTACTCCGGTGGACACCATGTTTTTGCGACACACGACCAGGCGCGGCTTTTCAGTGGAGCTGCAGTCTAAAGTGCTCGAACTTCCGTACCGCGACAGCGATTACAGCATGGTCATCGTACTGCCCGAGGAACGGGATGGAGCCGACGCCGTCAAACAAGTTCTGACTATCGACAAACTCAACATAGCCGTTGGGTCGCTGACAAGTGGTCCAGTGGCCATCTCCCTTCCCAAGTGAGTTCAAATAGGATGCATACATGTTTTGGTCTGTTCTCATTAGGCACAGGGGAGGGCGTAAAGAGAGTGAAACTAGCAGATGTGGCCTTAAGGGCTTGGAAAGGGGTGGTTTTTCATTTGGATGGCAGTGAGCAAGACAAAACGTGCAGCGACATTCAACGTGAGCTAAGGATAAACTAAATATGAATAATGTTGTACGCTACACTATGGAATCATATTAATGCGAGAAACGTTAAAGAGCTCGTGTCGCGACAATTTCAGTGTCTGCGTCGTTGGTTGTGAGAGAAAAATTAATGTTTTCCGTGCCCGAGAAATTGGGAAAGACGAAACGAAATTAATATTTAAAAAATCTTTAGTTCGAGTAAAAATTGATCCAGGCCTTCTGCGTGGTGTTCCGGCACAGAGCCATGCCGTAATCCGAAAATGCTTCAAAAAGGGAAAAAAGAACACACAATGTGATTGGCTTGAAGTGGAAGGAGTCTCATTAATGCATGTATTATTGCGTCGCGGAAGGGTACAGAATGGCGCCAGTGTGTTGAAACGTGTGCATCGCGCAACAAGTGGGTGTTTTAAAAGACCACCCATTACAGAGCGCTCAGATATATTTAATAATTGATTACCTTACAGACACGTAATTGACCTTTTAGTTGTTCGCAAAAGAAAGAATCAAGGCGTGCTGGGCACTGCGCAGCTGTACTTGCTTTAGGCATTCGATCATTGTTTGAAGCCGCCGTGGTTATGCTCTCAGACGCTCGTTTCCTTACGGCACGGTTGAGGCATGCACCGAGAACCGAAAACATGTGAGCAGTTAGAAAGGCAAGGTGGTCCCGGTCACGCTATCATGTTCTACTCTTGAAGGCGAAACTCGAGCGTCTTTCACGTTTTTTTTTTTTTTTGCTTTTCGTGTGGCCGAGTGCACGTTCGAAATGACACTTCCTAAACTGGCTCCCTCTAAAAAGTGTGCTTTTAGAGGTGAAAGATCGTAAGTGAAAGATTTCCGTTTGACCTAAACAAAGCTTCCTGAGCAAACGAGCAATTGCAGGTTCGACGCTACCAATAGCCCGACTCTACCGATGGTTGCTTTTTTCCCACGCATGCGTGTATAAAGAAGCAGAACAAAACAGGCAAAAAATGTTCGAAATACGAAAAACTTTGTGAAGCGCATAGTGTTTTGAATTTAAGTGCAATCTGTTGTACTGTGGCGGGGCTGTACGTTTAGAAATATGTTTAATGGTTATGATGTATTGTACTATCGGAGAGCAGTAGCTTGTTCCTTATACACATATGCTAGACTATACTCGCGGACAACTTTTTTTTGGCAGAGAAGGGAGAACTATAGGGGGCAGAACTTCACGTGTTCTACGCCAATTAGTCCGGTTTGACGCGCGTCTCGCACCTCTGTTGAAAGTTATTGCTGTACGCATTCAGCGTTGCATACCGACCACCCAGGTGCCCCATTCAAGGTAAATGTAAAAGGCGGGACTTTGTCATGCGTGCTATAAAAGCAGGCCTTGAAATTGAAATAATTGAAAATATCTCACTAAGAGTGAGCTGCGTCCTGTCTAAAAGAACTACATGTAGAAAATGATGAAGTTAGTTCTTTTATTTTACGACGGAAATACGGACGCAGTTGTGCAACTACATTCATTGACGGTACTCGCGATACGGCGCTGTTGGCTGCGCTTCATTGCCAAAAAAAAAAAAAAAAATCTGCGAGTTTAGTGTCCAACGTGCACAGCGGTTCAACAAAGAGAATCAATGCTGTGCTGGTCCAAACAGTGCTAGAGTTTCGGTGGTGCGGGCAGCGTCACCATGGCGCTCAAAACGTGCAGCTGTTCCCGCAGACGAGAACGGCGACTGGTATAGAGGCAATGCAGGTGCGTATCGCCGATCCGAAACAAAGGGACACTGGCGGTATTCTTGTACATTTTATTGTCATAATACGTTGAAATGAGGAAGGACGTATTCTTTTACGATTTTTTTTTAAATTGCTAAACCCTTGAATAATAAAGGAAGCGGCATAGCATCCACGCAGTCACACCAGTAGAGTATGTTCTCCTCTTGCTCTCCTGTCAAGTGGCGACGGGCTGGTTTTTGAAAGCGAATTGCACGTGTCTGCTAGATTTACTCCACACTGAAGATGGCCACCAGTGGAAGCCAGGGTCAAAGAGCAGACTTTAGCCGGTGTATTGCCAAAAATGAAACGAGCATACTATGTAGCATATGGCATGAGTAACATTTCTTTTTTTCATTTGATGGCCACCACTAAGCTCCTTCGGGTGAACTGTTAAAGAATTTGGCATTAGACTAGACGGTTGCTCATTTCCAAATAAAAAAAAATAAAAATGGAGTGGAAAAACTCGGCACGGTTATTCTGTGTGGCTGTGAAGCACGATTTTCTGAGACAAAGATTCTTGGCAGAAGCACAAGAAAAACAGCACGGGAAGTGTTAGAGGCATTTCTCATAGAAAATGGTGAGCACCGCTGTGTAAGCGCACCTCCGCTATATCCGTTTCTCGGTGAAATTCATTTTATCGATTCTAGATTTCAAAAAAAAAAAGAAGGAAATGAGAAAAGTATGTCCTGATAGTATTTGCTGTTGACTTCTCTCATGTTTAAAGGTCCTTCCAAAACAGCCTCTAAATATACCAAAAACAAGCGCGTTATTCTCTCGGTGTTTCGTGTCCTTGCAGCAGCATTTGTGACGTCAGGAAGAAATGAGCTCTCCATTGGCCGATATTCGAGATAAATATCTGTTGTGAATTGTCACCTAGCATGCTTTGTGAAGTAGTCGCATGCCCGTTCTTTCTTGTCTTGCACGACTATCGTGCGATAAACCGATTCGACTTCCATTTTTTTTTTAAATTTGCGATTGATCAAGGGTAGGTAGTAGCGTGAAATCGAACAGCTCGAAGTCCTGACTGTCTAAACACTCAGTGCTGCCATTCCATGCATTTTATTGCACATGTGGGGAGTAAAATAGCGCTTTTAAAATGAATGATATAGTAATTGTCAGTGTTTTACATCCCAAAACCTCAATACAGTCATGAGGGACGCCACAGTCGAGGGCTCCGGAAGTTTTTTGATCAGCCATGGGGTTCTTTCACGTGCACCTATAGGTTTAAATACACGGGCCTCCAGTATTTCGCCTTCACTGAAATGCAGCTGCCACGGCCGGGATTCAATCCCGCAACATAGGGTACTAGTAGTCGAGTACCGTAACAAGTACGTCAACATGGCGGATGAATTGAATAATAAGCATTTCTAGTTGGACGTCCGCAGAGCTGTTGCGGACGTTCAACTAAACCTATTTAATAAATGTACGTACGTCAAAAATAATCGAGAGCCAATCAAGCGAGGTGAAATATAAGAGACGTAATTGACCGTATTTGCGACATAAATAGGAATAGATTAAAGTGGACGAAAAGACAACTTTCCGCCCTCAAATACCGAACCTGCAACTTCAAATGACACGTATATCTGTATATGAGGTCGGTCAGGTATATCTTCGTCAGCTGATATTTGTGACGACGAAAAGACGACCACCACTGAAGCCAAACTGGAATCGGATGCACTATCCGAAGGTCGCAGGCTTGGTTCCTGTCGGTGGCAAGTTCTCAATTCGTCCACTTTACTTTCTTCCCAGTTACGTAGTTTCATGACAAATAACGTCCGCTATTTCTTCTGGACCTAATTGTCTGTTGGTTGTTATTTAGGTGGTGTCTAATAACACCAACAACAACAAAAAAGTGAGCCTTTAAACACGGCCACTCAAGTAAAAAAATCTGGCACCTGTGCCTTCAGTTCTCGTTCATTCGTTTATAAAATAATAGAACAATTTCGGCCACAGGTTCAAGATAGACAAGCTGAACCCGCTGAAGAGCAACCTGACATTCTTGGGCTTGCGAAAGATGTTCGGCTCCGAAGCGGACTTGTCGGGAATCACTGGAGACCGCCGGCTGTACGTTTCCGACGTGCTGCAGCGGGCTGTGGTCGAAGTCAACGAGGAAGGCACAGAGGCCGCGGCAGTCACCGGGGTCATCGGCGTCAACCGCATCGGCATCGAGCCGTTCCTCTTCACGGCTGACCACCCGTTCCTGTTCTTCATCCGCGACCGCAAGACGAACGAGATCTTCTTCGCCGGACAAGTGAACGTCCTCTGAGCTGCTGTGGACGCGACGTGGTTGCCGAACATTCCAGAAGCTATGCGAATTCCTGTCCAGTGGGCGCGATGTGCAATTATTACGGCTTACGACACATTCGAATACTGCGGAATCACTGCTCAATAAAGTCACCCTCATCCCAAATAATGAAGGACTAATTAGTGCGAAAAGTTTGTTGTACAGCCAAGACAGCCAATGGCGGAATATATCTCGCTCAAGTTATAAAGGCAGCAGCCATGGGTTTACATAAAATCATCGCGCCAGTACCCTTTCCAAAGAGACCAAAGCTCTCATGCGATGCCTCGAATCATTTTCGAAATATCCCTCTCTTACTTTCTCTACAGTGTCAAGGTAACGGAAATTTCATGACAAGGTAACGGAAATGAGCCAAAAGTAATTGTTTAACGGACATTCACACTCGCTTTTCTTGTTAGAAAGCAGTGTATTATCTATTAGCACTATCAGATTTTCTATGGAAACGGCTGTCGTAAGCCTTATCGCATCCATCCTAATGTTGCAAGGTGGCTGAATATGAGCAGGTACAGCAAAGCAAACAAGTGAAGCGGTCTTTATAGACTGTGAGGATAAGGGCCGTGACGTGGAGGAAAAGTACAGCTAACAAACAAAATATTTAAACTGCGAAACATCGTTAAACCTCCTGTTTCCCTTATTCAAAGAAAGATCAGCGAAATGTCCGCATTTAAACTATTTGTATGCGTTTTAAAGCAATCAAGGCATTGGTGTTTATTGTTATTTATTTCGAAATACATTATTGTCATGGCGCAGGAGACGATAGGTGAAGTTATGAGTTAGCTGACTAAGCAAACTAATGAACGAAAAGCTGACTGACGTCATATGTTTCGTGCCATGAATGCTACACGTACACGACACTTGGTCGTATTTAAAATAGAGAGTTTTAATACTGCGGAATGGTGCTACATACGCATCACGCAAGCGCCTTGCGTTACGTGGCGTCGTTTGACACTAATCGGCTTTTAGTACGCCCACAGAACACACGCCGTAGTACCCGCCTACGTAACGAGCGTGAAGCGTGTTGCGTCATCTGGTAGATCAAAATAGAAGCACGTCTTGTTGACAGCCAATGTGAGCCAATCCAAGTGTTATAGCCAGATTATGGCCATATTTTAAGCCACAGAGCCGGTCGGTGCTTGCCTTCGATGCCGCCATTTTGCAAAACGAAGTCTCGTGCTGTCGCAAACTTGTTCGAGAGCGGGGCCATCACCTCGTACGTACGCACGCATGCATCTCATGCGTGCGTACGTGCCGGCTGCGTACGTAATGCGACACGTGCGCGTTGCGGTCTGCGCATGCGCCCTACGCAGAACGTGGCGTCCTTACGTACGCAACGCCGCCACGTACGCAGGGGCGGCGCCAGGATGTTTTTACTGGGGGGGGGGGGGGGGCAACCACACGAAAAGTGAGTTCCTACGGGGGGGGGGGGGGGGGGGCAAGCTAGCTCTGCTCCTACTAGGTTTTCAATATATGCTTCCGGGCACTTGGGTGGGCATAGGGGGGGCAGGCGAGAATTTTGGGGGGGCTCCAGCCCACCCTTGCCCCCCCCCCCCCCCTGGCGCCGCCCCTGCACGTACGCAGCGTACGCAGTACTAAAACTCTCTAATGACTGATGTAAACACCATTTAACCGCGTGTCTGCTCTCATTTCCCTCGGTCTAGTGGCTAAGGTACTCGGCTGCTGACCCGCACGTCGCGGGTTCAAATCCCGGCTGCGGCGGCTGCATTTCCGATGGAGGCGGAAATGTCGTAGGCCCGTGTTCTCGGATTTGGGTGCACGTTAAAGAACCCCAGGTGGTCAGAATTTCCGGAGTCCTCCACTACGGCGTCTCTCATAATCATATGGTGGTTTTGGGACGTTAAACCCCACAAATCAATCAATCTCTCATTTCCCTAATGTGAATAAGACGCATACTTGCATGGAACATTGCATTGGCTATTGGACACGTCAAGGTATCTGTTAAGAGAGAGAGAGAGAGAGAGAACATTTATTGAATGAAGCTTGTGAGTGAAGGTGGGACAGCCCGCCGGGCTCGAGCGACGAGTTGACGCTACTCGACCAGGTCTGGCTGGGAGGTCGACCCCTCCCACGCTTCACTGAGGAAGTCTTGGTCCGCATCTGGTGCTGCTGCTCGTAGTCTTGGGACGCTTACTTTGCACGGCAGTAGGAAGTGCGCCAGAGTGTCTGCCACTTTGCAGTGAGGGCAGGTGTAGCTGTGCAACGTTGGCCTCATATGGTGCAATAGTATGCCGTGGGTCAACGTGTTGCTTTGAAGACGCCTGTAGTCAGTGCCTTCGTGTCTTGTGAGTTTTGGATGTGGCGGAGGGTATGACCTGCGTTCGAGCCGATAATGTTGCAGAAATGCAGGTATCTGTTGAAAAGAAAAAAAAAAGACGCCAGCAGACTATGGCCCTGTAAAAATTCACTCGTTAATATAGGAGGTCACAGTCCTGAGTTGAAGTTTTACCTTTTCTTAACTGGCTTGGTCGACCGTAGCTGACTGACCAATAATTTTCTGGGAGAAGAGAAAAACTAATAGTATAACGTACAAAATAGAAGAATGAAATCCCCCGAGTTCACATGATATACTTATTCAGTAGAACAGAAAGAGGGGGGGGGGGAGGGGGAGAGTTCGCTAATGTGAGCTAATACTGACGTGAAATGTTCGTTTTGGTTTTCTTTTCCATACCGTTATTCCGGCATCTGAAAGAATTGATTATACAATTACTAACAAATGAATCTGCACGATTCATACTGCTGTGTTACTCCACAGCATGCTGAAAACGCCCCAGTGTAGAGATAAGAAACGCCCAACATAATGTTTTCTCGGTGGCACCTGTCATTTCTCGTGGTGCCTTTGTTAAAGTGGGGAAAAAGCAAGCACTGTCGTCCGTCGACCACCAGTCGGTTGATTTGATTGATTTGTGGGGTTTAACGTCCCAAAACCACCATATGATTATGAGAGACGCCGTAGTGGAGGGCTCCGGAAATTTTGACCACCTGGGGTTCTTTAACGTGCACCCAAATCTGAGCACACGGGCCTATACACCATTTTCGCCTCCATCGGAAATGCAGCCGCCGCAGCCGGGATTCGATCCCATGACCTGCGGGTCAGCAGCCGAGTACCTTAGCCACTAGACCACCGTGGCGGGGCAACCACCAGTCGGGTACGACAGACATGGTCGAATGAGTTAAGTGATGTAATTGGTGGTAAATGAATGAATGAATCAATCAATAAATAAATCAATCGATGAAATAATATTTTATAAACAATAAAATTTTATGCTAACAGTACCTTGGACCAACAGCCTGACAGTGGCCAGTAGCCTGTCGAATAGAACACACTATAAAGCATACGCAGGTCAGCAAAAAGAGGAATGAAGAACATAAATGTATGCATATATGTGCGTATGCACTTATGGTTACAATACACAAATAATAAAGAAACAATAAACATTAATTCAGAGCATTCAGCTCAACATACACGCGGTTTATTGGCATTCAATCCCCCGAAGAAAGAATGACTCACATGCAAGGCCAACATTTCGTCTATAGCCATTTTTAACTCCAACGTGCTGAAGCGCGTTCCGAGAGATCCAACAAAATTCATAAATCCATCCACTTTTAACTCAACATCTGAGCCCCGCCGCGGTGGTCTAATGGCTAAGGTACTCGGCTGCTGACCCGCAGGGCGCGGGTTCGAATCCCGGCTGCGGCGGCTGCATTTCCGATGGAGGCGGAAATGTTGTAGGCCCGTGTGCTCAGATTTGGGTGCACGTTAAAGAACCCCAGGTGGTCAAAATTTCCGGAGCCCTCCACTACGGCGTCTCTCATAATCATATGGTGGTTTTGGGACGTTAAACCCCCCATATCAATCAATCAATCAATCAATCAATCAACTCAACATCTGAACCACTCAAGCAAATAAACAACTCAAACGTGAACACAGACGAATCTTTATGTTACGATTGACGATAAACTTCACTAGTCTGCACTAGCACTTTGAAAACTCGCACTGTGGAAAGAAGAGACTCAAGCTATACAGATACGCATGCTTTCACGGAATCGTTTGCGTTGAGCAAAGTCCATCCATCCACCACCATCTGCAACGGACGCCTCATACTATATCAGATCCCCGCAATTTCCGTGGGAATTCGCGATGTTAGCCACACGATCCTGCCTGTCCTCTCTACTTTCGAATGTTTGGGATCCGCGTAGCCTCTTCGTGCGTATACTCTTCTATCTTACCAGAAACGCAGCAATAATTATTCCGCCTTTCCCGGAGCCTCCTTCTTTGTGGAGCGTCTGCTTTCTGTCCTCGAGCTATCAACACGCTTGCGCCGTTTGGAAGCGAACTTGAGACCACCCTTACTGGGTTTCATTTCCACTGACTCAGCAAAAACCATCACGCGTGGTGCGCGGCCTACTCACTGGGGTTTTCCAGTATGGCGGCTGCTCCTGAGCCATATTTCACTGAGACCCGCCGTTCGTGCGCTCCCTGCTATCTCTCTGAAACTGTGATGACGCCATTATTGCACCGCCTACAGGCAAGAAGAACGTCAGTTATTTACAAACACACACACGCACCCTTCATGCGTTTGCGTGACCCCAACGTCTCGCCCACACCTTCGCTTCTCAGCTCCGCCACCCGTAGGCTTTCTCGTGGTACGGCGTTGCATTGAGATCATTAAAGCGGCACTAACAAAGCCTCTGTGCTGTCCTTGAAAGCCGTAAGCCAACTTTCGTCATCTCGATAAGCAATCGACCGGATGCTGTCGATTAACGTGTTCATCGATACAGCCTACGAACATAGGTTCCGAGTTCGTAAGAGCTGAAGCCCGAAGGAATTCCCTATTGCCTCAACTAGCATCTCTCCGATAATTTTGTAACGTACACTGCTTAGGGTAACCCCCCTATTCTTCGAATGCATTGCCTCCCTGAGAAGAATGCACTCTTGCCAGAGTGTTTATTGATAACAGCCACCGTTGAATGCAATGGGAAGAATTGACCCTTGCCCTGAAGACGAGCTATATACGCTCGTTCACCCTGAAACAAGCCCCTGGGAGTGCCGCGATTTACGTACACTTATTCATTTTGCTGTTCTATTTGGCTTCAACA